CAGCTCATTGGGGCTGCAGAAACTTGGGAAGACTGTGTGAATATGTGTGGGTGCATGCAGGGGGAGCACCTTTTCCCAACTTGTTGAAACAGGATTCCTTCTGGGGTGCTTCCTTGTGAGCCCCAGAGAGGCCTCTCATCAAGAGACTTCATTTGGGATCATTTAGTGTGTAACTTTACCTACCAACACCCTCCCGGTTCTTGACAGAACAGCTACAGGTTGCTGTGTTCAAGAATGTGGGCAGGATTGGCAATGCTCTTTCAATATTGAGCTTCAATTTAAATCATCATCTTGCTTAGCTAAAAGCTTACTCAGCAACAGCATCCTACAGCACTTCCTGGTGAGAAAACATCTGGGCTGTGCTACTAGAACATATTTCACTTCCACTTCCTCACCTGAGCAGTTAGTTCTCTTGTTTAATCTTGTGCTGAGATTTAGATCTTCCCTGTCCTGATGTCCTTGCTGGGCAGTGCTTCTCTGGGTGTTCAGACCTTCATTCTGGCTCTGGTCTGCTAGGATTCACCCTTCTGTTCAAGGACCTCTTTAAAGGCTGTAGCAGGGCCTGGAAGGAGATAGCTTGCTCATATTGTCTTTTCTATTGCACCTGTCCCTTATGGTGCCACAAATGGATCTGTGTGTGGCAGTGGGTGGAATGATTGCATGTATCTTTTGTAACTCACCGGCATTATTAAGGGAAATTGAGAAAGCTTTGTTTATAATGTCAGGACAAAAAGGTAAAAACTGGAGCCCAAAGAAATCCCATTAGGACAAGATTATGTTATAATAGAAAACTTAATTTCCAGAGGCAGAAGCTGCCCCTTCAGATATTCAGTCCTCCAACAAATAACACTTTTATAGTAGTATGTGACATGGATTATGGACAGTAGGGCCCACGGACAGGGACATAAGCTTAACACTGAAGTTTGGGGCAATGGGTTAGAGAATATACTTGCTGTTGATTTGACAATAGAAAAGTCTTTTTTTTTTTTTTTTTTAAGCTGTTTTTCTAGTTGAATGGCGAATAAAACTGCCACATCCTTGTTGGGTCTGTCCAGGAGGTCTCTTGCATCAAAGTGAATGTCTGCATTTTGTTTCTGTCTTGTGTTTTTATTATGAAAAGAAATGTTATAGTGGGTTGGGGGGTGGATTATGGTAACAGGAGGGATCCTCGGCTTTGTTTTTCTTAAAAGACTTGTTTAGTATTTTTATCGGACCTCTGTTGTAGTTATAGATGGAAAAGCTTGTGAGAAAAACAAACACCACATGGAGCCTGTAAATGTTTTTGCACAACCTGTAAAGCATTCTTGGAAGTGGCCAGTAAAAAAAGAAAAAAGGTTTTACCATTTAAAAAAAATGTAACTGTGTCATTGTTTACATCTGTAACTTACCCTGTTTTCATTACACCATTCTGGCAACAAATGTAGGCACAGTAGTTCCAGTTTTAGAATAAATAACCATTTGGATTGAATTTTCCTATCTCCTGTGGCTGCACTGACTGGAGTGATCATGGGGGTGTTTAATAATGTATTTCTCTCTAATGTTTATTTTGAGACAGAATCTCATTTTAGCCCAGGCTGGACTGGAACTCTTAATCATCCTTCCTTAAACCCCAAAATGCTTCATTTGTACATGTTCATCACCACACCCAGCTTACTCACCTATTTTAAATTTTGGTGTGTGCACAAGAGTGCACAGGGAGTCAAGTGTACATATAGATGATGGGGGTGGGTGTCAAGAGGGAGGTCAGAGGATAACTTTGTGAAGTCTTTATCCTACCTTTATGCAGGTTCCAAGGAGCAAACGCAGATTGCCAAACTTACGTGAAGTGCCGAGCTGTCTCAGCAGCCCCTTCATCTATTTTTTAATGCTTAGTTATCAAGATGTACTAGGTGCACCCAAGGATAGTTTCTGTGTTGTATGTTGTATGACTGCTGTGCCCTTTTCTGTAATTCCTTCACTTGGGAACCATCGATGCAGGGGTCTGTCTACCTAGTGTGTGCTAAGAGAAACGTCTTTTTATGAGTATGAGTGTTTTGCCTGCTTCTAAGCCCACCCACTCCATGTGTGCATTACCTTTGGAGGCTATTAGAGGGCATTGGAGCCCCTAGAACTGGAGTGACCCATAGTTCGGAGCTGCTATGGAGGTGCTAGGAACTGAATCCTAGTCCTCTGCAAGAGCAGCAAGTGAGCGAGTCTCCTAACAACGGAGCCATCTCTATGCCTCATACTAAGATCTGGAGCCATTAGAGTGGAGAATTGAACTCTTGGGCTCTGCTAAGATCAGTTGGCTGTTTGAGGTTAAATGAGAGGTTCTATTAGAAAGCCATTAAGTTTATGCACAAATAATTATTACCTAAGTAGAAAAATCTTCATTTTCCTAATGAATTGGAAGAATGAAAGTCACAAAAGCATTAGTGTTAGTGCTGAGCAGATGTGCTGCTGCTGGCAGCAGTCAGACTCATCGCCTCACGTGTGTCACTGGGACTCATATGTGTAGTGCCTATTGTAGCCTAGGCTGCTACCACACCCAGCTCACTCGGATTTTTGTTTTTATACCTGTTAATTGGGGGGGGGGGGGCACACATGTGCCATAGTACACCTGTGAAGATCAGGGTGATTTTGAGGAGTTCTCTATTCCACCATGTATGTCCCAAGGATTGAACTCAGGTCATCAAACTTAGTGGCAGGCACTTCTATCCACTGAATCATCTTCCTGGCACTCATTATTGGGGCATCGCAAACTTAATGTTAGAGCTAATTATAATTAGTGCACAGCTGGGCATGATAGCACTTGCCTTTTGTCCTAATACTAGATAGGCTAAGGCAGGAGGATTGTTATGAATTCAAAGCCAGTATATACCAGATTAGCCTGGGCTATACAGACATAATCTGTTTCAAAAAACAAATACGAGCCAGGCAGTGATGGCGCACGCCTTTAATCCCAGCACTCGCGAGGCAGAGGCAGGCAGATCTCTGTGAGTTCAAGGCCAGCCTGGTCTCCAAAGTGAGTTCCAGGAAAGGTGCAAAGCTACACAGAGAAACCCTGTCTCAACCCCCCCCACTCAAAAAAATAACAGCTGGGTATAGTGGTGTATGTGTATAGTCCTGGCACTTGGGAGTCGGAGGCAGGAGGGTCATGAGTAAAGATCTTGTCTCAAAAAATCACTAATGGTCCACCTCCCAGCCTGCTTAAAAAAAAAAAAAAGATTTGTGTTTATGCATGTTTTGCCTATACATATGTATATGTACTGTGTATGTGCCTGGTGCGTGTAGAACAAGAAGATAGTGTTGGATCCTCTTAAACTGGAATTAAGGTCAGTTCTAAGCCACCATGTAGGTTCTCTCCAAGAACAACAGATGCTCATAACCACTGAACCATCTCTTCTAGCCCCACCCCAATTACTTTTAATGGATATAGCTCACACCTTGTCTTTAGAGCCAATAGCCCTGTTTCCTACTCAACCAGATAATTCACCCGTAATTTGAACAGGTATCAAACTGAGGAAAGTAAGCTGGGGTTTTTAGGGGTAAGGTGGGATGACTGTTAACCTCACATCAGTGTTGACATCTTGACCGCTTTTGGCTTTTTACCACATCTGAGCTGATAAGATTTTCTTGCTATCCTGGTATTTGCCCAACACTGATACAGTAGGAGAAGGGTTTTTAGTCTCTGCTATTCTGTGTACAATTTAAGCATATACAAATAGAAAAACCATTTATTAGGTATTAAGCACCTATTGCATACTAGGCATTGTGAGCAAGCAGGGATTATAACAAGGATCCTTCCTGAAATTACCACAAGTAACAAGAAATAAGATTCTAAAATCAGGGGTTGGGGATTTAGCTCAGTGGTAGAGAGCTTGCCTAGCAAGTGCTAGGCCCTGGGTTTGGTCCTCAGCTCTGGTTAAAAAATAATATAACAATAATAAAAGATTATAAAATAACTGAAATCAAACTTCAGCCCTGAAGGGGTGGTGGTGGATGTTCATGTTCAGGCATACTTTTGTGGAGGTCAGAGGACAACTCTTGAGTTCTCCACCACCTTGTCGAATCCAGGGATGGAACTCAGGTCTTCAGGCCTGCAGTCAGTCACCTCTATTCAGCCGTTTGGTCATAACACTGGGGAATCTGCCTGCCACTACCCCACCCCACTTTGGGTTCATTATTCCTCTCCCCGTCTTCTTGGGAAAGGACAAGATTTGGGAGTGATGGGTTATCCTGAGAACGAACAGGTAGGTCGTCCTGGGCAGCCCAGGTATGTACATGAGCAAAATTTAACTGGCCTAATTAGACCTTCCTACCCCTAAAGATATGTCCCTCGAGTTAGATCTTGATCAGTGAATAAAAACAACCAGGACTGTTAACGGCAGTCCAGGATCCAATATCATCTGTGTTCACCCTTCAAGAAAGCTTCTGGAAGGTATTCTGGGTCCCCAAACCTGCTTGGGCACTCAATGAGATACATGTGATCTCTAGCCTGTATAAAGGCATGCACCACCAGGCTAGGCTGTACTCTTTGTTGTTGGACTTCATTGGTTCTTTGAGACAGGGTTTCTCTGTATAACAGCTCTGGCTGTCCTGGAACTCACTTTATAGTCCAGGCTTGGCCTAGAACTCAGAAATTCACCTGCCTCTGCCCCCCAAGTGCTGGGATTAAAGGTGTGCACCACCACCACCTGGCTTCTACTCTTTCTTAATAGATAGATATTTAGTCATTTCGAGGAGAAAATAAAAAGCCCCAATTCAACAAGAAAACACAAACTGGGCCGGGTTCAATCCTCCCACTTGGGAGGTAGAGGTAGGCGCATCTCGGAGTTCGAAGCCAGCCTGGTCTATAGAGTGAGTCCCGGGAAAGCCAGGGCTACACAGAGAAACCTGTCTTGAAAAAACAAAACAAAAACAAAAAACCCACAAACTGAAATTTATTGCTTATTTAGCTTCCAGAGAGGCCGAGGGACCGCGCTCTAAAATGAGCTGTATTATCACATTTGTATTATTACAAATAATCCCTCAAAGGGAACCTCTACATGAGATTATCTTGCGAAATCCACAATGTGCTTTTTGGGCTCAAATCCTAGTGAACTAGGGTACCCATGAGTTATTCTTTAGGGCCTCCGATGCTTGGGCTCTCCGAAGAATGTCGGGTTCCAGATTCTGTGGAACACCGAGCCCGACTCTGACTTCGAGAGGACAGGGGCAGCCATTTTAAGACCAGAGGATCACGAAAGGGAGCGTTCCATACTGGGAACGCTGGGGGCCGCCATTTTAAGAGCAGTGCTGTACGGCACCTTGACGCGCCCCGCCGTGCCTGTACGCACAGGCAGCCGCCATCTTGGGCAGCGGCGGTGGGCACTGCCGTCCGGGGCGCTGAGTCGCCCTGGGTCGCCCCTCCGCTCCTCAGGGCACCTCCACCCGGGGCTGCTGTCTCTGTGCCCGCGGAAGCCCACGCTACCCAGTCTGCGTAGTTCTCGCTGCTTTCGTTGCGTGCCTGTGTAAATGCTCCGCAACTTCTGAACGCTCGTTTTAACAACCCCCGACTGGGGGCGCTCGCGCGCCTCACCCTGCGATCTCCAGCCCTGACAATGTCTAACTGGCTCGACTGGCCCCGTTCCCTGGATATGGCAAGTGCATCGGCTAAGGATCCTCTTTCCCAAGAACGCTAACACAGGCGCTGTCCTCTGAGGCTCTGGATGACTTTATTCTTCAAATGCCTTTACCTTTCCAATAGCTCCAGGTGAGACTGAGAACAAGCACCCGGGCATCCCCCTCTCCATTGCCTGAACGGATCACAGAGGGAATCAGGCAGGATTCTGGCAGTTTAGCGGGGTCCCTCTGGATGGAGTAAAAGATGCTTGCAGTTGGCCTCAAAGGGTGAGGAGATGGGGTAGACATGGGTAAGGAGGGTTTGTGCTTCATCTAATCTCATGATAGGTGTGGGTAGAGAGGGGCTGCTACAATTTCCGACCTAAGGGCGGGTCTCGGAGGGGGAGATGAGTTCAGAGGAGGGCACAGAAGAACTTCTTCTCCCGGAAGGGGTTTTCCGAAGTGGGCACAGGAGTGATGAGGGGATCCTCACAAGCGTGGGCATCACAGTAAGTCATCAGGTCTGCTGCTGCTTTGGACACCTGGGGCACAGCCAGGAGGGGAAACGTTAGCCAGAATATCCGAAAGGGACTGCAGCTCTCTTCTCCAAATAGGCTACCTTAGTTTCTAGTGCCCTTTGAGACAGTCCATTCCCCCATCCCCACCGTCCTTGGGAACAGCTTTGCTGACAATGCCCAGTTTCTGCCTCTGACCTCAGGGTGTCAAGGAAAGAAGCACCTTTTCCCCCGGGGTTTGAAAACCTACAGCTGAGGCCTGGAGAACTAGTGGGAGCCAGGGTCGCACCCACCTTTATCCGGCACAGGCTGGCCTCAATCTTAAGTTGTTCCACCATCTTGCGTGCTTGGCCGATACTCATAGTGCTGTTCACAGGGGTCTCTCCTTTCATCCTGGAGGAAGGACACGGCCCAGTACTCGCGGCTGAAGCACTCAGCGCTTCTACAGCCACACGGCTGGGATTGTGCCCAATATTTTGTCCCCATATTATCTCCACTCTGCAGTGGCCATTCCTCCTCTTTTTCTCCGTGGGGAGGATGGAGAAGAGTGAAATGCTCTCCAAATCCCCGGGTCATGGTCACCAAACTATACAAATGATTTAAGGATTTCCAGTCTTTGAGCCAAGTATGTTACCAGCAATGAAAGCCTCAGTCAGAATGAGCCCCACCCTGATGAAATCACATCAGCCAGCTGTCCCCTTAAGCCCTAATGAGAGAGAAACAGCCTGCTCTCTACTCACCTGAAATGACAGGCGGTGGTGGCGGCGGCAACAGCCTGGGATGTAGGGTCAGTGGGGAGGGGGCAAACCCTGCCTCAGATAGGTGCCCCACCCGGCAGGGACTTGCAGCTAAAAATATCTGTAGCAATGACAGCTCATGCAGAGAAGGTCACCAGAGATGCTCAGACTGGAGGTCCTTGGAGGGGTGGTCTCAGTTTCTGCAGCTCAAGCACTGTCCAGGTCCGGGTACCTGAAGGATGAAGGATGCTAGAAGGAGCTGCTCAGATTCTGGAGCATACCAACTGCCTGGCCAGTGGGGGGGTCTGGCTGCTGTTTGTATCCCCTGTGCACACCCCCACCGATACTACCTCACGGCCTGCCCTATCCGTTGTAGAAGTCCTTCGTCTGAACTAGAGTCCTCCCCAGAGGACCTGAGGTGGAAGCAGGCTCCCCTCTTAAGTGGGGTGGTCTGGGTCTATGGCAGTCCCTGCAGAAGAGTCTGTATCCGATGCGGGAGACCCTGCTCATTTGAAAATCTGACATCAGCTGGGCTCCTGCCCCCTTCTTCTCTCCCTCCCCCCCCCCCCCCCCCTTCCCCCCCCCCCCCCCCGCCCGCCCCCCCCCCCCCCCCCCCCCGAACCCTGACACAGCACTCAGCACCTGAATCTTCCTTTCTTTCACAGTGACCCTCCATTCTGCATATCCAGGAAAATGTGACTCCCTACAGGTGATCAGCTTCTAGATCACCATTTTCTACCACAAGTGACTTGTGTGGGGACATCCAGGGGCAGCAGAGGTAACCATCAGGAAGATATCTAAAGAAATGATACAGCAAAGAAGAGAAGCTGGGGGAAAAGAGACATGCAGAGACCAGATCAAAAGAGGATCAGATAAAGAGGAGGTAAGGGAGGTACGGGAGCCAGCGTGGATATTATGAACACAGGTGGGTTTCTTGGAGTCGGGAGTAGGGTGGCAGGCGGTGGAATTGGGGAGATAGGGAATTGATTTGAAATTTTTCATGTAATCGGAGTAGATGGCTACTATTCACAAAGATGTGCCTCCTGGAGGACACTGTCTAGAAGATGCCACCTTCAAAGACCTAGTCGGATGTTTTGTAGGGATTCTGAGGTTGACGGCATCAAGTGGGTCACAGAAGGTCGATCTCGAAGTAAAAACTGGAGACCGAAAGGGGCTGAAATGCTGCTACGCTTGACTAGCAGACAGCAAGCATCTGCGCAACACACAAGATTTGGGTTCTAGCAGTGTGCAAGGTTTTCAGGGCGAACGAGCCCCCCCCCCCACTCCCCTTGGACGCCTACAGGCCCAAGGAGTTCCACAGAATAAAACCAGCACCCGTTTCACCACCTCCACTCCACCCACCCCGCCTGCACCCGGACTCTGCCTTCCTGGGTGAAAAGGCCGGTGAAGGTTTCAGCGGAGGGCCGTGATTGCGGCCTTGAAAGGAGGAGCCAAGGGACACTGCTGAGTCTCAGCCTGCCTCCAGGACTGTAGTGGGGTCTGGATGGGGAGTGCATTGCCCCTGGCAGGGACAGTGGGGAGCACAAAATAGGAGCATCTCACAGGCCCCGCCCCTGCGCAAGGGCCCCGCCCCTGCGCAAAGGCCCCGCCCCTGCGCAAAGGCCCCGCCCCTGCACGAGCCCTTCCCCTGCTTAACTGGCGTCTGACAGAGGGGGCGGGGCTTTCTCGGCAGCCGGAACACGCTGCCCTAGGTTGCTTGGGCAGCCCGAGGCTGGTGAGTCGGCCTCGGTGCGGTGGAGGGCTGGTGTCCACCGCGTTACCTGAGGGGTGGGCGCTTCAGCGTCGCTCCGCGAGTGGGCCGCGGGGCGCTGTGCGGAGTAGGGATCGCCCCCTCGGTAAGCGAGGTCCAGGCGGAGGGGAGAAACTCGGGAGGCTGTGCAACCATGGGCAAGTCACTCATCTCCTTGCAACCCCTGGCGTTGTGTATCCATGTCGTCTGTGCTTTGAGAGAGTTTTAAGATCCTCGTTCCGTGTATGGAATAATGCTGTGAATGTGTCAAGGAGGGTTTTCCCGGGCTCCGGTGCCTGAAGGAAGGGATCCACTGGCAGGGGCTGGAAGGAAACCCAGTGGAGGAAGGTGAAGGAGTAATTGGAAGAGAAACGCATGTGAAACAATGGCTTTGCTTTGTCCTGCTATCTCTAGTTCCTCAAAGCCAGTTCAATAAGCTTGTCTTCTTTGTCCCCAGCTCCCTGGGGAAAAAGACATTTTTCCCTCCTCTTTCTCCAGGAACCTCCAGCTGCCCTATCCCATGGCCAAGGGTATCGTCCCTGCGGAAGGCCAGCCAGGAACTCAAAGCCTGAAGCTGGGGCCAGATCCTCTGCTGTTCCCATCATGGTCAATGACCCACCAGTACCTGCCTTACTGTGGGCCCAGGAAGTAGGCCATGTCTTGGCAGGCCGTGCCCGCAGGCTGTTGCTGCAGTTTGGGGTGCTCTTCTGCACCATCCTTCTCTTGCTCTGGGTGTCTGTGTTCCTCTACGGCTCTTTCTACTACTCCTACATGCCGACGGTCAGCCACCTCAGCCCTGTGCATTTCTACTACAGGTGAGAAGATCGCTCCCTTAGAGGAAGGATTCTTAGGCTGAACATTACTCCAAGGACTCCTGGATCATCCTCTGTCGAATCCCAGTATTGACAGAGGATGACATGTTAGCCCAGTGTGCTAACAGGACTTCTCAGCTCAAAAGCCAAGGCTGGAGCAGGTCTGAGCTGGTAGGGCTCAAGGGTTCTAGGTCCACCTGTGCTGCTGAATTCTGATTAAAAGCCTGAAAAAGAGCCTGGTCACATCGGTAATTCCAGCACTTGGGAGGCTGAATTGGAAGGGTTATCATGAGTTCCAGGCCAGCCTCGGCTACAGGTTGAGACCTTGTCTCAAAGGAGTTTTTTTTTTTTTTTAAAGACTAGAAAAAGGAAATTCACTTTTAGACTCAAATAATTAAAGTCTGCTCTGAATAGGTTGCATAAAACCTTTTAAGCCACTGTAGAATTTTGAGCCAATTCAACCCCTTGGGCATCTAAGAATTAGCCTGGCTTTTAGCACAGGAGGTATTAGGAAAGCGTCCTTTGCCTTTTAGTTTACTGCCGCTTCCCCCCCCAGTTAATCTGCACAGTAACACAAGATAGTTACCTTCTAGTTCATTCCCATTTCTCTCATGCTGCCAAACTCTGTCTATCCCAGTAGTGGCTGTCGGACTAGTCAATCAACAAGCACAGAAAACGGTCTTGGTTTGGTTTGGTTTCTGGTTTTTTGAGACAGGGTTTCTCTCTGAAACAGTCCTGGCTGTCCTGGAACTCACTCTGTAGACCAGGCTGGCCTCGAACTCAGAGATCTGCCTGCCTCTGCCTCCCAAGTGCAGAGATTAAAGGCATGTGCCACCAACGCCTGGCCAGAAAACAGTTTTATTATCATCAATTTAAAATCTTTTTTTTTTCCTGTCCCTAATCCCTAGTCATGTGCTGTCCTTTTCAAAGTAGATCTTAAACATTTAGGGAACAAAAATCTTATTCATATAGGAGATATCAGGCATGAACTGTGTATCTATATGCCATGTGTAATTTTGCCTATAATTTATTTTTAAAAATGTATCCATAGATCCTTGTGGAGGAATGTTTTCTTTTTTTTCAAACTAGGCCCCAGACCAGAACTGAATTGGAATCTCTAGGGGTGGGACCCTGAAATCTGCATGCCATGAGCTCTTTAAGGGAGCCTTAGAAACACCTGAGTGTGCTTTGGTTCCTGCCTTCAGGTTCTATTCTAATAAGGAAATAAACTGAAATAGTGGGAGGAGAATGAAAGCCTTGTTTTGAAATCTTGACGCTCTTGGCCACATTTGTTCTGCATTTCCCTAATGGAGAAAAGGCATGGGTGACAGGAGGGAGCCGAGAGACCAGGTGGGCAGGCAGGCAGAGGAGGCTCTGTAACTTCACCAAGTATCATTCATCCCTTCTCACTTAGGACAGACTGTGACTCCTCCACCTCCTCACTCTGCTCCTTTCCTGTTGCCAATGTCTCGCTGGCTAAGAGTGGACGTGATCGGGTAAGTATGAGAGCCAGAGAAGAACCAGGAAATCTTTGATGGCTTGAGAAAGATGTGGAGAGTGGGGATTGAGCAACAGAGATTTAAGAGAAAGGCTCTGAAGCAAACAGAAGTTGAAAAGAAAGTCTAGACTGTTGGTCCCGGTCACTGTGACACATACCTGTAATCCCAGCACTAGGAGGAAAAGGCAGAAAGATTAATTCCAAGTTTGAGACCAGCTGCATAGCCAGACCCTATATCCTCCCAAAAAAGGAAAAGGAGGGTTGGGCTAAGTCCCAGTTGATAGAGTACTTGCCTCATATGTATGAGGCCCTGGATTCAATCTCCAGTGTCAAGTTAAGATCCAAATGACATGTATGCAGCAAGCGTTAGGAAGGATCACATCTTGCACTTATCACTTGAGTCATAGCTCCTTGTTAAAGTTTTGTTTTCGGTCCATTTGAACAAATCAGCTAGTTAGAACAGCGTGGCATCTACTCAAGTACTAGAAGCTAGTATGTAAGGCCAGGTGTGGTGGTCCATGACTTTGATTCTGGCACTTCTGAAGCAGAGGCCAGCCTGTTATACACTGTGAGTTCCATGCTAGTCAGTGCTACATAGTGAGACCCTGTTTTTGTTTTTTGAAAGAAAGAAAAGAAAAGCTGCAAGGTTATACAAAAAATCTGTGTCTCAAAAAACCCCCCAAAAAATAAAATTTAAAAAAAAAAAAAAAAAAAAAAGTAACACCTGCCATAGCTAAAACAAAGCCTTCATCTACCAACATCCATAGTTCTGATGATTTGAGAGGGCCCAGGTCACTGTGGGCAGTGCTACCCTTGGGCAAGTAGTCCAGGGAAAAAAAAAAAAAAAAGCTGAGCCAGGCAGTGGTGGCTTGCACCTTTAATCCCAGCACTAGGGAGGCAGAGGCAGGCAGATCTCTGAATTTGAGGCCAGCCTGATCTACATAGTGAGTTCCAGGACAGGCAAGGCTATACAGAGAAACCTAGTCTCAGAAAACAAAAGCAAACAGACAAAGAGCTGGTATATAAAATTATGAAATGATTAACTAGTATGTGTTACCTCTTATCACAAAGGGTACCATGCCAGAGCACTGGCCAGATGCCAATGTGACTAAAAGAAACCTGGGAGCTGTGACAAGTGTACATGGAGACAGCCTTCTCTACTTGGCAGGCTGTGAATGCTCTGATAAAGGATAGGATTCCAAACTTTAAAAGGACCTTGAGGATCAGTGTCAGTTTTTATTACAGGAATTATTTTAGTTGTCAATCATAACTTGAAAGTAACTTTTTAGAAAAAGTTACTTGCTTTATGATAGTGTGCCAGCTCTTGCACAGTGTTTTTTTGTTTATTTGTGTATTTGTTTGTTTTTCCAGACAGGGTTTCTACATGTAGCCCTGGCTGTCCTGGATCTCGCTCTGTAGCCCAGGCTTGCCTCAAACTCAGAGATTCACCTGCCTCTGCCTCCAGAGTGCTAGGATTAAAGGCGTGCGCCACCACTGCCTATGGAGGATGTCTTGAATTTAGGAGTTTAAAAGCATCCTGGGCAAGTTAATTCCAGGCCAGCACATATTGATAGCCTGTTACAAAAAAAAGAAGAAAGGAAGGAAGGAAGGAAGGAAGGAAGGAAGGAAGGAAGAAAGAAAGAAAGAAAGAAAGAAAGAAAGAAAGAAAGAAAGAAAGAAAGAAGCCCATACTTGAGAGGTAGAGGCAAGAAGGTAGCCTGGACTACATGAAAAACAAAAAATGGTTAGCCTTGAAGTTCTGATCACCCTGTCTCAGCCTCCTGTGTGCTGGGGTCATAAGTGAGTGTACACCACAGTGCCAGACATGGGCATAGGTTTTCAACCAGCACTTTTCTAGGTTTTTTTTCTTAATAGGTTTATTGAGATAAAATTTATATAATATAGTTTACCTCTTAAGGTATACAGTTCTATCACTCTTATTTGTTTATTTATTTGCTTTGAGTTTTTTTATTTGCTATCGAGTTTCACAAGGTAGCCTTAGCTGGCCTAGAACTTGCTACGTAGATCAGGCTGGCTTTGAATTCATAAAGATTCACCTCTCTGGCCTCCTGAGTTCTGGGATTAAAAACCTGCACTGCCACTCCGGCAGTTGTATCCTTTTTAGTGAATTCAGTGTTGCACACAGGCACAAATAGATAAATTGAATTTTTCTTAAATTAAGAAATTACGCTGGGGGCTAGAGAGATGGCTCAGCAGTTAAGAGCTGCTCTTCCGGAGGTTCTGAGTTCAATTCCCAGCACCCATGTGGTGGCTCACACCTGTCTGTAACTCCAGTTCCAGGGAATTTGACACCCTCACACTAATGTGCATAAAGTAAAATTAAATAATTAAAAAAAAAAAAAAAAAAAAAGAGGGCTGGAGAGATGGCTCAGAGGTTAAGAGCACTGGTTGTTCTTCCAGAGGTCCTGAGTTCAATTCCCAGCAACCACATGGTAGCTCACAACCATCTGTAATGAGATCTGGTGCCCATTTCTGCAGAACACTGTATACATAATAAATAAATAAATCTTAAAAAAAAAAAAAAAAGAAGTTACGCCGGATAACAAGATGATCTCCACTACAGTGGTTGTGCAAGAGCTGCCTTGGGAGGTGGAGCAGCACTTGCTTAATTAGTAAGTGACGAGGCTGGGCCCAGAGGGACAACTCCAGCAGCGCACAGGCTGGATCACAGATGGCCCAGTTGGCAGTGTGACTGTTCACTTTTGGAGAAGAAATGCAGCAGGGCCCTTTCAGAACTCAGACCTAAGAGCTGACTGGGTGAGGGTGGTGAGTGCCCAAATTTTCAGCACCAGAGGCTGAAGCAGAAGTTCTATGAATCTGAGGCTATATAGTGAGTCCTAGGCCAGCCAGAGATACATAGCAGAACCTTGTCATGTCGTGTGTCACCCCCTCTTCCCCCTCTCCCCCGCCACCCCTAGACAGGGTTTCCCTGTATAACAGTTTTGGCTGTCCTGGAACTCAGTTTGTAGATCAGGCTGGCCTCAAACTCACTGAGATCTGCCTGCCTGTGCCTCCCAGTGCTGGGATTAAAGGTGTGCACCACCACCGCCCGGAACATGACCCTGTCTTAAAACACAGGGTTCCCTACCTGACAACCCCCACCCCCAATAAAAGGAAACCAGTGAACAAAATAGAAATCTGGAAGCCAGGTTGCCCAGTGACCAGGAGGGGGCAGCATTGAATCAGGATGTCCTTTTTTTTTTGAATGATTAGAACAAGCCAGGCATAGTGGATCACACCTTTAATCCCACCACTGAAGAGGCAGAGGCAGGTGAATCTCTGAATTGGAGGCCAGCCTTGTCTACAGAGTGAGTTCCAGGACAGTCAGAGCTATATAGTGAGACCCTGTCTCAAAACACCACAACATTTTTTTTAAACAAGATGTATGTTGTTACCTTGGGCAGGTGCTGATGTATGGACAGCCATATCGAGTCACCTTAGAGCTTGAACTGCCAGAATCCCCCGTGAATCAAAACTTGGGCATGTTCTTAGTCACTGTCTCGTGCTATACAAGAGGTGGCCGAATCATCTCCACTTCTTCACGCTCAGTAAGTGTTTAAGGACAACCTAGGAAGTTGTGGGCAGTGATGGGAGAATCAGTATATATGGCTAGTACTTCAAGAGAAGACCTCCTTGGCTCTGGGATCAGGCCCAAACCAGGATAAGTAAAGAATCCGATTAACAAGCCAAACATTTGCCAAACACCTAGTATCTGATGGACATGCCCACCTTTGGAGTAGTCTAAAGAGTACAACTGCTCAACTGCTCTCAGAATAAGCAGACACCAGAAACATACCAGCTTTGAGACAAGGGGCTTAATTGCTAGAGTTTTATAGTAGTTTCCTCCTAACCAGACCAGGAAGAGACGCAGGGTTCTTATTAGCACGTATGGACACACGTTCAGCACTGGACCCCATTTAAAACCACATTATGAGTGTCTGTGTTCAAGGGGAGCTTCAGGAGGTGCACTGGGACAGGGTCCCCAGCCGGAAAACAGACTACGGGAAGGTCCGTGAGGGCAGACTGCTTACCTGAGACTGGGGTTCTAGAGACGGGGACTCTGCCGTATCAGAATGGAGACGTGAAGTCGGGTAGCAGGGAGACGTTTCTGAAACAGGTGGAACGGTTGGGTGGGGACTGAAAGTTAGGAGGGCAAGGTCAAGGGACAGGGGGCTTGGAATGAGCAGCATACATGGCCTGCTCAGGCATGGGGCAGACTGGAAAGAACACCTGTCCCAGCCTTCCCTTCTGGCCCTGTCAGGTGATGCTGCATTACCGCTCCCACCTGCTCCAGATGCTTGACACGCTGGTGTTCTCCAGCCTCCTGCTGTTTGGCTTTGCTGAGCAGAAGCAGCTCCTGGAGGTGGAGCTCTACTCGGACTATAGGGAGAATTCGGTGAGTGGGGTGACGGAGTAGGGGACACCCTTCCGGTTAGCCCAAGACTGCGCCTGAGGAGCCCGTGGGCAGGCAATTACAGTAGCCAAGAGGCTGGAAGTGGGCCTCAGACTGGGCTCCTAGGCGTGAGAGCAGCAGGAGCCCGGCCTGACTCCGCTCTCACCCCTCCCTTGCAGTATGTGCCAACAACTGGAGCCATTATTGAGATCCATAGCAAGCGCGTCCAGATGTATGGAGCTTACCTCCGAATCCACGCCCACTTCACGGGGCTCCGGTAAGAAGCCACAGAAGAAAACCCTGGCAGTTTTCTTATGACCTGCCCTGTGGGGCGTTTACCCACCACCCCCACAGCTTCCCAGAGTTTTCTTGAGTGCGAGCAGCAGGAAATATTAGATAGAAGGATT